AGACCTTCTTAAAAAAAAAAAAAAAAAAAAAAAAAAAAAAAAAAAAAAAAGACCTTCTATAGAACTGTACCAATCACACTCCCTTTCTGTGGCTGGCAGTGTCTCTTTCCCACATTCTCAACAACCAGTATGCTATCTAGCTTTTTTGATTCTTGGCAATTTTCATGGGTTGAATTTTTCCATCCCTCAAAAAATTATACTGAATTCCTAACCCTCAGGACCTCAGAACATGTCTTTATTGGGATATAGGTCTTTACAGAGGAAATCAAGTGAAAATGAGGCCATTAGGGTGGGCTTATGACCATTATGACTGGTGTCCTTATAAAAAGGGGAAATTCTGACATGAATTTAAATACATTTTTTAAAAGAAGGGAAATTCAGAGAGTATATCAAAATAAAAAGCTTCTGCACAGCAAAGGAAAAAATCAACAAAACTAAAAGACAACCTGCTAAATGGGAGAAGATATTTGCAACAACATATCCTATAAGGGGTTAGTATCTTAAATATATAAAGAACTTATACAGGGGCGCCTGGGTGTCTAGGTGGGTTAAACGTCTTGATTTTGGCTCAGGTCATGATCTCATGGTTCATGAAATCAAGCCCTGTGTTGGGCTCTGCACTGTCAGACTAGGATTGGGATTCTCTTTCTCCCTCTCTCTCTCTGCCCCTCCCCTGCGAGCTCTATCTCTCCAAATAAATAAACATTTAAAAAAAAGAACTTACACAACTCAACACTCAAAAATCAAATAATCCAATTTAAAAATGGACAGATGTGAACAGACATTTCTCCAAAGAATACATCCAGATGGTCAACAGACATATGAAAAGATGCTCAACATCACTCATCAAAAGGGAAATGCAAATCAAAACTACAATGAGGTATCACCTCACACTGTCAGAATAGCCAAAATCAAAAACACAAGAAGGGAAGTTTGGGGGCCCCTGGGTGGCTCAGTCGGTTAAATGCCACACTCTTGGTTTCAGGTCATGATCTCACAGTTCATAGGTTCGAGTCCCACATCAGGCTCTACACTGACCGCGCAGAGCCTGTTTAGGAATCTCTCTCTCCCTCTCTTTCTACCTGTCCCCTGCTCTCTCTCTCTTTCTCAAAATAAAAAAATAAACTTAACTTAAAAAAAAAGAAGACAAGTTTGGACACAGAGACGTGCACACAGGGAGAACCCCTCAGGGAAAGATGAAGGCAGAGATCGGCGTGACGTGCCTGCAAGCCAAGGAATGTCTATTGCCAGCATCTACCAGATGCCAGGGGAGAGGCCTGGCATAGATCTTTCCTTCCCTACTGCCTTCAGAGGGAGCATGGCCTGCTGACACTTTAGTCTTGGACTTCTGACCTCCAGAATTGTGAGACAAGAAATTCCATTGTTCTAAGCCACTCAGGTTGTGCTAATTTGTTATGGTGGCCCTGGAAGGGAAATTCTTTCTGGTCACCTGTGGTTGCAGCAGTGGATTCAAGGAGAGAGAGGTCAGTGGTGACCCCTAGGAAGGCTCCTCAGAGGAGAAGGACCTTGTTGATGGAGGTGAGGTTGGGGGTATAGCCACTGGAGTGACTCCCTGAAGAGGAGGATGACAGTAGGAGGGTGGTGAGGACATGGGTGGGCAAAAGCACTCAGGTTGGGGAAGGGAAGGGGGGGAAGCGAGCAGAAGGAGATGACTGAGCATCCAGGCCTTGGACACATCTGTGCTGGATATGGGAGGTAAGAGGCACTTGCCAGGGCTGGACAGGGCTCGACTGGGCCCAGAATGTTGTGTTTCGTTGACAAGCAATATAACCAGGGTGTGCTGGAAGGAGGGGCCAGACGGCCAGAAGAGGGTGTGCCTGCCGGGAAGAGCCAGGTAAAGGCCACCAGATTCTTCCTCAAGGCCCACGCCCCACTCAGGCATCCCCAGCCCAGTAGCCTGAGAAGGGATGTGGCTCTGGGTCCCCAAAAGGACACATGGGAGAGTCAGGTGCCATTCAAGGCTGGCCAGGGCTCTACAGACCAGCTGATGCCAGGCCCAGAGAGGGGACCACAGAATCCCAGAGAGTCTCCAAGGCTCCATTTCACTGAGGGGGGAGACTGGGAGTGGAGATGCGATGAGCCACAGGGTGCAGAATGTGGGAGAGACCAAGGGGTGGGAGGAGGAGAAAAAGAAGAAGGGGGAGAGAGGGAGAGGGAGTGGAGGGAGGGGCCAGAAAGAAGGAACAGAGAGCAGAAAGGGGAGAGCAGGGGAGTGGAGGAATGAGAAGGAGCTGGAAACATCTTCCCCAACTAAGGCCCATTTTAGTGCCTAAAATGCCACTATTAGAGATAAGTCACTAAGAATCTGAACAGCACACACAGTGCCTGGGAAGAGGGTGTCATTCTCAGTACTAATAAGGTGGCAGCTCTGGGTGTCATCACATTGGGAGTCCATGCCAAGTGATGGCAGGGTTCAGGTCAGTGAACCAGCCCTTTAGACCATGCCAAGCCACTGCCCCACCCTGTCCCAGACTTCGGCCCCCCTGCCTCCCTCCATTCTTTTCATTTGCCAGTCAGCCCTCAGGTAGACCTCCAGAGAAGACCCTGTCTCCTTTGGGTGGGTTTGGGCCAAGGAGGCCCCAGCCCCAGGATTACATTTACAGGTACTTTCTTCCCAGCCCCCACTCCATTTCCTCTTTGGAGAAGAGTTGCCCAAGGTCTGGGTCCAGGGAACCAGGAGCCCCCGCTCCTCCTGGTGTTTTGAGCTCAGGGCAAAACACAGTCCAGGACATGGCAGTCTGAATGACATCCACAGGGCCCAGCATGAGCCCCCACTTTTGCGTCTAAGACCCCTTCCCACCCCACCCAGGCCATTCCTGATTTGCACGTCTCAAGGGAGTGCAAATCTGAGGCCTGCAGTTTCGTTTCTGCCTTTTCCCCTCCCTCTTTCTCTGGGGACAGGCGAGTAGCAGAGGGAACCCCTGAAAGGTGTGACCAGGAACCCCTGTCATTCTCTGCCAACCTGAGCCCAGTCCCCATGGCCATGGAATCCTTAGTGGGCCCAACCCTTGTCCTTTAGGGGAAGACACTGAAGCCAGAGATGAACTGAGCTGCCCCACAGCACACAGCTGTTTCACTGCATTTTTAGAATCTGGGGCTCCCAAAACCCCAGCTTGTGCCCATTTGGCTAGAGCAGTGGCCCCTTTCCTGGTTCTGGGATGCCCGACAGCCCTGGGACATGCTCGGGGCACAAGGCAGGGGTGGGGTGATACAGAAATGGCCAGAACAAGAGTCAGAGCAGAGACTTCAGGCTTTTGTCTCTTATGAAAGGAAGGCCTGGATGTTTGGGGGGAGGTGGCCAGGGGGGTGGAGGGGCACATCCACAGGGTAAGGACAGACCCTAATATCGGTTGAGCATCTGCTATATGT